ATATATATATATATATATATATATATATATATATATATTTCTACCAGTGGCAGAAAGAATTGCTTTCGTTCCTTTCATATGAATGTTTTTATGAAGATAAAGTTCTATATGGGACGATACTGAAGCTGACTGTGTTTGGAACTTTCATGCTACTGCTTGGCAGAGAACACCAGCCTTCAACAGTCATTTCCTTCCAGCATTCCAACTACTCAGCTTGTGAGACTCGAGGCATAATTCTACAAGCATAGTTGCCATGAGTCTTTTACATTTTCTGTCAAAAAATCCACTTCACTTAGGATAATTACCCTTTAAATCACGTTCCTTCTATATTCTTCCAAACATCATCTCATTAACCATTTGTTAACGTTACCAAAAAGAACAGCTTTGCAATGAGCCAAAGAGCAGAAGACAAGGAGGTTGGAGGTTTAAGGTCCCACCACTACACTCAGGTTCACCTGACAAGAAAAGATCACTGAAGCTCTCCTAATTACTTAGCTCCCCTATGTTCAGGGATAAACAAACATCAATCTGATCCAGCTACTGATATTTCATTATTCTCAATGTGTAGTCTCAAGGTAAAAGACTTGTTTAACATGTCAAAGGAGCCAAAGAATAGCATAAGCCAGAATCTTATAACTCCTTATGGCTCCATTTCAAAATCTGTTAGAACCGTACCAATGTTTACAAATAATTATAAAATATTAATTATAAATCATTTTTCTTGGCTGGTAATTCAGATACTAAAAATTCACTATCACTCTTTTTCTCTCAGTTTTCTCTGATTATTCATCCATTTAAGATCTTCATTTTGTATCCGCATGAGGCAAAACTATCTGGAGAGAGAGTAAGGTTAAAAATGAAGAAATCTAGTTTCTTTCACTATCTTAACCACTGTATAAATCTGGGTCCCTGAGGAAACTAGTTGTCCTCAAAATTATTCAGTTTTCTTATCTGTGAAAAATAATATTAGCCGAACTTGCCTTCTAGGTTATCGTAAGGTTAAAGGGAATAATGTCTGTGACTGTACTTGAGGAAAAAAGTTCTACACAGATACAATTAGTGTAGTTAACTTTTTGCTTAGTATAGTTAACTTTTGTCCTAGGAAAGGCCTACAATGCTGGCACACACATGAGTTTCTTACTACGATACTGCCGCTATAGACGAAGATAAAACTCCTTGTCATTGTTAACTACATGGTACTTCCAGAGATTTTGAAGCACTTTCACTTGTTTACCCCAAAATTTCTGTTGAAGAGAAGGAATTACTTTACAAAGCAAAAGCAGGCGTTGTCTTTATGACCTCATGGTAAAAGGTAAGGAAGAATTTGTAGCAGGCTGAGCATGCTACAAAAGCACTGTTAACTGAAGCACAGAAAACTCTAGCCCTCTCTCTGAAATTCTTTCAACTCATTACCAAGAGAAGACCAGGTGATTAGTTTATGCTTCAACCACCACAAAACTAATAATAATAATGTAATCATAAATTTTCTTTTTACACAAAAGACTGGTCCAAGTTTCATAGGGATGCAGAAATAAATCCAACCCATATTGGGCTACTGGTTTATTGAGTGGCCTTGTTTGTATCAGACTTTTCTATTATGATGTGACAGTTTCAAGTAATTCAGTGTCGGAAAGAGCTTGAAAGCCAACAAATAATATAATTTCATTTGTATTATACAAATATTAGTTTGATATTCAATTCGTATTATCCAAATATTCGTTCTTGGAGGATTCTTGCACTGCCTCGTGCATCACACAGGAAAGTTCAAACTCAGGGCTTTGAAATGTAAAACAAAGTCTTTCCTAAAGTACTAAATAACATAGACAAATACCCTCATAATGGTAATCTTTTATAAAGAAAGCATATCTTAATAACCACTAAAATCTAGCTTTTTTTCTTCAAAATGTCTTACTCTATAGTCAAAAATTCTTGGGAATTATAATCATAGGTTTTCAGGTGCTTTCTTTGATTTAGAAAAAGTCTTCGGGTTTCGGAAACAACATAAAGCGGTCACTTGAAGGATAACTTGAGGAATGCACCACTGTATGTTCTCTGAGAACAGAAAACCTTATTTTACCTCACTTTGTATCCCAGTTTTAAAGTCAGGGGCTGGCCTGTAGTAGGACCTCAATAAGTATTAATCCAGCGCACAGAGACAGGGGAAGCCGAGAGTCCTGAAATCATGAGAGTCTGAGAAAGTATTATTTACTGGTTAGGTTTATCCTACAAGCCAGTAAGAGCTTTCCTCAGTTGAGGGGAGGCAGAGGTGTGGAGGTGGGTAAATTGGAGAAAGGTTGCTGGTTCCCAGTTTTCGAGCAACCCTATACTGAATTTGTTTCCGTCAGTGATGCCAGTCAAGAAAACAAAGAGGGAAAACGAGTTTTGAATTGCCTATTCTATGTGTGCTGGCCATTTCCCTGCCTCTGCCCCTCTCCCACATTCCCACTCCAGGACTTCCCCTCAAAGGTATCTTTTTTCTCCTCTTCCTTAGCACTTAGGAGTACTCTACCCCTTCCCGGCCTGCAGGTCCTTTTCTAAATTAATCTAGTTAGTGCCTGGCAAAGAAGCCCCCGCAGAGCCGGGTAAGACTCTACCCCCTCCAGCACCCCCTGTGCCGGAAGTGGGGCTAAGCGAGCAGGCGGGGTGAGCAGGGAAGCGGACCCTCGGGCGTTTTCTGAGAGCCGGTACTGCCCCCGCTGCAGGCTCAACCCAGGGTGCCGCGAGGTAGCTCCACCCTCTCAGGACCCTTTGCATGGAGTACAAGGCCCAGTTCGGGGCCGCAGCCCTGTTCCGGCGTGGACTCCCGCAGTCTGCACCCCTCCGGCGTATCTCTACGTTGCTCCCTCCCTCCCCTGCACCACCCCCACCCC